GGGGCCGGAGGAAGGTGTGTGCCAACCTGATGCCCCTTGGCAGAACCACAAACGCGCAAGAGGACCGGATGGCTAGGGCAGAATGAAATGATTCCCGCGTATGTAACTGGCTCCGTGATGCACTAGAAATGCTGGCAGGCCCCATCCAGAGCAGCTGTTCATTGCAGACGCGGAGGTGACTTGGTCCTGGCCTGGGTCTACCTGGGTTCTTCAGCACTGATCTTCTAGGACCATAGAGATCAAAACAAATGTGGCATTTAGTGGGAGGGTATCTAGGCTAGGAAGAGAAGTGATACAATGGAGTAACCCACCTGCTGCTCGTCGGGTCCGATGATTCCACTAACCCCCCCCCCCCCTTTGGCCATCGGGGTGATCTGGAACCTTTGTGGCCACCCACCTGCTAGGGATGGTGCCAGCCGGCTGCAGGACACCTCGGAGGAAGGGGGTTGCGCTCATGACACAAGATCCATATTTTTGTTAGTCTCTCAGGTGCTGCAGGACAACTCATTCTCCCCATTAGTCCCTGGTTTTCCTGTTAGCGTCCGCTGGCTGGAGGAGGCTCCCTGGCAGATGGGGAGGGGTTTGCAGCGTGCACGTCGGTGGGTTTTTGATCCGTTGGCCAGGCGATCGGTGTGACCCCTCGCTCTGTTTTGACTTTCAGAGAAAACCGGGAAGGTGCTGGGGGAATTCTGCCAGTTTTACGAGGACCAGTATGGAGTCGCGCTCTTCAACAGTATCCGGTATGAGATTGAGGGCAACGGAGGGCCGCAGTCCCAGCTGCTCCACCGCAAGGTAAGGGAGAAACGACTCCACAGACTTCCTCTGCGCATCGCCCTGTCCCGGGACCTCTGGCTCCGCTCTGCTCCAGGAGCCTGGCTTGGGTTGCCGCACGCAATACGCCCTGCACTGTCTGTGCAGCCAGGATGCACAAATGGGCAGGGGCCACCGACCAAACAGTATCTGGGGCTGTTTGGCTCTCGGAGCTTTGTGCATGCACATTTGTAGCTGAAAGTGGCCTCCAGGTGAGGGGAGGCAGATGCCCGGGGGCCTGTCTGCTGTGGCTGATGGACTTGCTGAAGGCAGCAGGGCGTGTCCACAGTGATGGATTTATGCGGTGCCGGTGGAGCCAGCCTTCCTGGGGGCAGAACTAGAAACCCGGGGCCCGCTCAGGGAGAGCGCGGAGGTGGCAAACTCCACCTCTGTAGTAGGCAAACGTCAAGTTCTTCCAGCGCGGCAGAGCCCACAGAGAAGCGTAACTTTGGTTTGGCCACGGCTGCTCTGGCACGCTCTGCAGTCCCAGGGAAGCAGCGGCCTGGGAGCTGAATTTTTCTTCTTATGGCAGGGTGGGAAATAATTTTTGAGGGGGAGGGAGGGGCCTTTTGCTGAAGTGGTTGTGGGCTGGCGCAGAAGGGGCGGGGCTTGGGGTGGAAGGGGCGGGGCCAGGAGGCCTTTTGTGCCCCCCCCTGCAGACCCTGATTAGCCTGGGACCTAGGCGGGGGAGGGCGGCATGTGAAGTCTTTGCCCTGTGGTACCTAGAGAGAACCACCAGCGGTTTTGAACAGCTGGCAGTTCCTGCATGTGCCACATGCCCCTGGCCGGGGAGGAGACTTTGCATATTCCCCTTTGCATGCCCCCCGTCCCCAGGTCTCGATTGGCCTGGGAGCAGGGGAGCAGCAGGGTGTGCGCGGGCCGGATCAACCAGCTGGGCAGGCCAGATCCAGCCCGTGGGGGCTGCCTTGCCCGCGCCTGGCTTATGGGAGGTGTGTAAATGGGGAGGCAGAGGTGGTGGTAGAAACTCAGGGGTGGGGGGGTTAACGTTCTAGCCTTAGCTCTTCTGTGACTCCCCTTCCAGGCCGGGCGCTGGGACGGGCTCTTCACCCGGCATTTGGCTCCCGCCCAAGCTCCAGCCTTGGCTTTCCCTTCCCGAGTGAGTCAAATGACTTAATTGGGCTTATGGGAGGTGTGTAAATGGGGAGGCAGAGGTGGTGGTAGAAACTCAGGGGTGGGGGGGTTAACGTTCTAGCCTTAGCTCTTCTGTGACTCCCCTTCCAGGCCGGGCGCTGGGACGGGCTCTTCACCCGGCATTTGGCTCCCGCCCAAGCTCCAGCCTTGGCTTTCCCTTCCCGAGTGAGTCAAATGACTTAATTGTGGCTTTGTGCAAGGTGACTCATTTCTCCTAGCCACAGAGGGAGCCAATAGGCTCCTTGGAGAAAGGCAGGAGGTGCCCTGCGTTTCAGCCCTGCCTTGCCTTTTGCTGGGCGCCCTCGTGCGTCTGCACCCTAGTACGAGCCGTGACAGCACAGACGTTAGAGGAACGCACTGGGCAGAGAAGCGCATCTGAGAGACTTTCCCTCTGCTGGCCGTTTTGTGCCTGCTCCCTGCAACACGGGGCTATGGACGAGCTTTGGGATGGGATTACGGACATGGAGAGCCAGAATGGGCCGATAAAGCCGCTGCTCATGAACTTGGGAAGGGATATTAAATATCTTGTTTTGGGGCATAAGCCAGTCTCCCTGACTAGGGGTTAGGAGTCCTAATACTGGGGAGACGGATTCTCCCAGCTGACCCAAAGCAAGCAGTGTATGGAAGCACGAACTCCTGGCCAATGTCAGACCGGTACCGGGCCAGATGGACGTCGGGACTGACTATGTACGCAGGTTCCTATGTGCTGAGCCGCGCCCGTCATCTGATCCCTCCAACCTCTCATCCCCCTCATGTAAAATCGTCCAGTTTCCAGGTGCAAATGTAGCTAGGGAAAGCCCTAGAGACCAACGCAGGAAGCTTTGCGCACCTAGCCCCTGCCAGTACTTACTAGCTACTTATTCTATAGATTAGGAATATTAGGAATCGTTAAAAAAGGGATAGAGAATAAGACAGGGAATATCTTATTGCCTCTGTATAAATCCACGGTACGCTCACATCTTGAATACTGCATACGGATGTGGCCACCTCAACTCACAAAAGATCTCTTGGCATTGGAAAAAGTTCAGAAAAGGGCAACAAAATTGATGTGGGGTTTGGAATGGGCCCCCATATGAAGAGAGATTAAAAAGACTTGGACTTTTCAGCTTAGAAAAGAGAAGATTAAGAGAAGAGAGGCTAGGATAGGGATCTATAAAATCAGGACAAGTATGGAGAGAGTGAATAAGGAAAAGTTATGTACTTGTTCCCATAACCTAAGAACTAGGGGTCACCAAATGAAATTAATAGGCAGCATGTTTAAGACCAAATGAAGTTTTTCTTCACACTGTGCACAGTCAACCTGTGGAACTCCTTGCCAGAGGATGTTGTGAAGATCAGGACTTTCACAAGGTTCAAAAAAGAGCTAGATAAATTCATGGAGGTGAGGCCCATCAGTGGCTATTAGCCAGGATGGGCAGGAATGGTGCCCCTAGCCTCTTTGTTTATCCAACAGAGAGGGATCACGTGATGATCCCCTGTTCTGTTCACTCCCTCTGGGGCGCCTGGCCTTGGCCACTGTTGGCAGACTTAGATACTGGGCTAGATGGACCTTTGGTCTGACCCAGTGTGGCCGTTCTGATAGGTCACACTGAATTATTCCAGCAGCTAAAGACTTAATCTGGCGGTTTACTATAGGGCAAAGTTAATTAGCATAACGTGATGGGCTCGGAGGACCTAGATACAGTCCAGAAGGACACATTACTGCGGTGGGTACTAGCCTAACTGGCTCAGGTCTGGGCCTTACTCACAGGGACTTGTGTGCACCATGGATCTATTTGTATTGTGGTAGCGCTGAGGGCTGCCGACCATGGGCCCGTTGTGCTTGGAGCTGTACAAATGCAACAAAACTACCCCTGTGCCAAAGAACTACCCCTGTGCCAAAGAACTAGCCCAAGTGGAGGTAGCACTGGCCCTGCAGAGGCTGGGCAGGCAGAGCAGATGGTGTAATCACCAGCACTGTGAGTCCCATCTCTTGTGCTACGTGAGCACCAGGAAGGCCTTGCACGTCCGGAGAATGGACCCCCTTGGGCTGTTGGCTGCTGCGGGATGTAATGGCTCGGGTCACACCCTCCTGCTTGGGCTGCTGCCTGAGACTGAATCTGGGTGATTTTGAAGATTCAAGCTCTTTGTTTCGTTTCCTCTCTGGCGGACGTTTTCCGGGAGGGGAGGGAGGAAGGGGGGAGCAATTGGGTTTCAGTGCTTCACCAGGTCAGTGGAGCCCCTCATCCTGTCGGCAGCTCAGACCTGGTCCCACTGCAGGGGGAAGAGAATGTGAACTTCAGCCGTAAACAAAGCGCCTGAGGCAGGAAATGCCAGGCTGTGCAGGGTTGACGGCCTTTGGGGAGAAGAGGGAAGGGAAATCCCCCCCCCCGAGCCTATAGTTCGGCTGGGGAAGGGTTAGTTTTCATTTCAGCTGGCATGTGGACTGCAGTGCTTCCAAGCCTGACCGTTACAAACATGGGCCGGGGGATTTATACTCGGGATACGGTGACTGTGGTGCAGCGCCTCCTGGCTCTGGCACGCGGCTCTGCTCCAGCTCCGGACCCTGGTGAGCTAAGCAGCATCTGCGAGAAACTCACGCCCATGGCTCACACGACTGAGACCCATCCCTCGCCACGGGCTTTGTGGGGACCCTCTGAGGACCTGGCCAGCAGCTTCTGTGATCGCTAGAGAAATGAGATGAGAGTGTGATGGGCTGGACTTGGGGGCCCATTCGTCTTAGACATGCCGCTCCGCCGACGTCGGCATGAGAGAAGCACCCAGATTGCAGGATCTTTCCTTTGGCTCCGCCACGGACTTGCTGAGTGACCTTGGGCAAATCTCCCTCTGTCCCCAGCTGGCAGAGTGGCAGAGAACAGCCTCCTGGGGGTGTTTAGGTCTGTCTACATGGCGCCTCCCCTCCCACTGCTTCCCAACTGTTCCTGAAAGGGGGAAATGGGCCTTGCTCGGGGCCTGCAAAGCATGTTGGGCGGCAGCGGCCGGTCTGGTTACTCTCTTGAGCGTCTGTTTGGTGATGGCCGTTCACGCTAAACGGGAACCGGCTTTGCTGGGGTGGAGTGTCCCTTCCGCGGCCGTGCCCCCTGCGACGGCTTGTGTGTAGCGCATGGAAGGCTGCCGCTGGTAGTGCCTTGGCCAGAGTTATCCGGAGTTATGGGGAGCCGCTCTGCGACTCTCCCCTCACTCCAGGGCAGGTACTTCCTGGGCTCCCTCTGCAGCCGCAGCGCAAGGTGAACCTGGAGGAACCGCGTCTCTGCAGGGGCTTCCAGATTCGAGCAGTCGCTTCAGTCAGCCGCGTGCTAGAGCGACAGGTTGGGCCTCCCAAAACCGGGACTCCCTCATCCAGCAGGACCACGGGTGTCCCAGGACCAGGGAGTCCTGGCGGCTCGGAGCCCAGTGGGGCTGGGGTTGGAGCCCCAATAGCGTAGCAGGGGCCCCGGCACCCCCAGTAGCAGGGCCGGGGACACCGC